AAGGAGGATGAGTGTGGAAGTAGAAAAGATAATGCCCTTGTTTGGCCCGCATCTTCTAGAAATGAAAATGATTGGAATAGTGTTTTTTAAAAAAAATGAATGGTTGAAAAAAAAGTAAATTTTTTTGATTTACGTGTAATATTATTTTATGAAAGATTGTGTGATTGAAAAAAGGATAGAGAAAAATGAAATGAAATTTAATGGAGGCCAAACAGGGACAATACAGTTGGGTTATGAGTTTAGAAATTGAGTAGGGCTTGGTTTAGAAGGTGGGTGGCAAGATATGGATTGGGCGGGTTTGGTATGATGTTTATCTACTATATTGTACAACTTTTTATCGAGTCAAATCAACATTAATTAAAGGTATGCATGGAATTTGAATTTTCTAGAGGGGTAAAAAAGTTTAAAAGTGACATTTTTGCAAAGATTATCGAAACGTGATATTTTTATAAATGCCAATCCAAAAAGAAATATGGGGTGCAATCCCCTCTTGAAGGAATGGATTATTGGACATAATAAAAAATCACATACCGAGATATGATGAAGACGATTTGCAAATGAAAGAGGATTTCTTGGGATTAATTCTTGAGTTTTTCTTAATCTTTGCTATAATGGAGAAGATGTAGATTGAGGATTTTGGGTGTGATTTGGGTGGGGTGGTTGATGTATCATGTTTGGTTGAGTGATGACATATAGAATTAGCAATTTTGGAACTTTCTATATTTTTCTAGAATTTATGTTTAACTAGAACTCTAATAACCATAAAATTTCATCTCCACATTTTATGGAAAATTAGCAATTTTTTTTTTTTTTTTGGAAAGTAGTAACTAACAGATTTAAATTATACATAATAAAATAAAGGGAAAATTGTAGCAACGGTCCCTAATTTTTGAAATTTTTTTGTCAACTTTGCCATAACCTTTATTTTATGCCAGCGAAAGTTCCTAACATTTCATAAATATGCATCTGAGTTTCTTCTGGACGAAAACTGTCCAAAACCCTGTCAATTGACTATGACAATTCCTTGAAGTATTTGTTATCCGACGGTTTTATTTGATGTTAATATCTTTTTGGATAGTGTTTTGAACCATATTATTGGAAGTTTATTTCATTTTTTAGAAAATTGGAAATTTTTTTTTTTTTTTTTTTTTTTTTTTTTTTTGTGAAAGTAGTAACTAACAAATTTAAATTATACATAATAAAATAAAGGGAAAATTGTAGCAACGGTCCCTAATTTTTGAAATTTTTTTGTCAACTTTGCCATAACCTTTATTTTATGCCAGCGAAAGTTCCTAACATTTCATAAATATGCATCTGAGTTTCTTCTGGACGAAAACTGTCCAAAACCCTGTCAATTGACTATGACAATTCCTTGAAGTATTTGTTATCAGACGGTTTTATTTGATGTTAATATCTTTTTGGATAGTGTTTTGAACCATATTATTGGAAGTTTATTTCTTAATTTTTCAGGTCAACTGACGGTATTTTGAACGATTTTCGTCTAGACGGACCTTAGGTGCGTATTGTGAAATGTTAGAACCTCCACTGACACAAAATGAAGATTAGGGTAAAATCTGCAAAAAATGAAAAGACTAGGGACCACTACTTCAAATTTCCCTAAAATGAATCTAAAGTAAAAGTCAATTGAAGGTAAAGAGCAAAAATTAGTCGATAAATATTACCATTCTATATTTTTATAATCGGGTTACCTCCAAAATTACCATTTCTACATTTCTAATCTGTTCACTTTATTTTCACAAAATTCTTTTCGATCGTTACAAACTTTTAAAATATTATTGACTAATTCCTTCTATTCTTTACTTTAATTGATTTTATTTTTATTTATTTTATTATGTACAGTTTAAAACATGTTAATTACTTCTTCCAATATAAAAACACATGCAAATTTTCCACAAAATGGATTGCATAATCATCTTCTCCATAATAGAAGATGATTTGCAAATGAAAGAGGATTTCTTGGGATTAATTCTTGAGTTTTTCTTACTCTTTGCTATTATGGAGAAGATGTAGATTGGGGATTTTGGGTGTGATTTGGGTGGCGTGGTTGATGTATCATGTTTGGTTGAGTGATGACATATAGAATTAGCAATTTTGGAACTTTTTAAATTTTTCTAGAATTTATGTTTAACTAAAACTCTAATAACCATAAAATTTCATCTCCACATTTTATGGAAAATTAGCAATTTATTTTTATTTTTATTATTATTATTTTTTTGTTTGAAAGTAGTAACTAACATATTTAAATTATACATAATAAAATAAAGGGAAAATTGCAATAGCTGTCCCTAACCTTTTCATTTTTTGCAGACTTTACCCTAACCTCCTTTTTGTGCTAGTGAAGGTCCCTAACATTTCATAAATACACACCTGAGTTTCATCGGACGGAAATCATCCAAAACCCTGTCAATTGACCGTGAAAGTTCCTTGAAGTATTTGCTATCTGATGGTTTTATTTGATATTGATACTTTTTTGGATAATATTTTTGGAAGGTGTTTTAAACAGTTTTATTGGATGTTCATTCCTTAATTTTTCAGGTCAATCGACGGTGTTTTGGATTGTTTCTGTCTAGATGGATCTTAGGTGCGTATTTATGAAATGTTAGGATTCTCCGTTGGCACAAAATGAAGATTAGAGTAAAATTTGCAAAAAATGAAAAGATTAGGGATCAGTACTGCAATTTTTCCTAAAATAAATCTAAGGTAAGAGTCAATTGAAGGTAAAGAGAAAAAATTAGACGATAAATATTACCATTTCTATATTTCTATAATCGGGGTACCTTCAAAATTACCATTTCTACATTTCTAATCCTTTCATTTTATTTTCACAAAATTCTTTTCAATCATTACAAAATTTTAAAATATTATTGACTAATTCCTTCTATTCTTTACTTTAATTGGTTTTATTTTTATTTATTTTATTGTGTACAGTTTAAAACATGTTAATTACTTCTTCCAATATAAAAACACATGCAAATTTTCCACAAAATGGATTGCATAATTTTATGTATAGATTCCAAGTCATATTGAGGGAGACCGTGATTATAGGAGTTTATGGTTCTTAGGAATCCATCTTATAATATTTGGTCTATAGAACTAATTATTGAATTGTGAGAAGGTTAATGTTATATGTAATGGGAATGATACAGTGATCTTTTAAAATTTTAACGTTGTATTAGGGATGTATTTAGAGAGCGAAGAATATACAAAATTTATGTGAACTTGTAATGTTTAAATGAATGGATTTAAAAGTATAAAATTTGATGTAGATGAAAATAGCAAATTTTTAAAAATTTAATACGGATAGATATAGAGTGGAATGAATATAGAGTAATTATATTACCATCACAAAATTTATTTACTACACCAAAATTAAAACATATTTTCAATAAGTATACCACGACAAATTCACAATTATACTTCTAATTCAATAAAAAACTAAAAATGAAAAAGAAAATGCAATATTATGATGTACTCATCATCCCAATATCACCCTTTTTTCTCATGACCCAGAAATTGAAGCTTACGACGTGCAATACTCGACCAAAATAAGCGAAGTGGAAGAGCTAATTTCATTGATTAAAGAACAAGTGCAGAATAAATGCAGGCAAGTGCAAAATCTTTTGTTTTCAGAATGCAAGTTGGGATTGAATTATGAGGTGGATTGGGAATATCATGTTGGTGGACAACCCACTTGGATACTAGCCTCGGGAGCCTAGTCGAATGGTTGCGATTATCACCGCCCACAAACTTGCTCGGAGCAAAAAGGCCGGAGCCAATCCCGAACTGCATTTTCGTTCTTGATGTTGGATAGAATTACATGTGACGAATTTTATTGCAGAGAAAATTTGGTGAAATCTAAAGACGTGCTCGGCATTTCATCCTGGAAAGAACGGATAATAGTAGTCTCAATTCTGTTGTAGCCATTCATCATCGTCTTCATTACCTTAATAAACTCTCCGAGATCATCATATAATCTTAGTACTTGCTGAAATTTCATAAAGTAATTGTCAATGGTCAAAATTTTGACCCCTTTTTTTCTTGGTATATATATATCATGTTTTCGTTGTAATTTCTTTTGATGAAAAGCAATTGTTTGCTTTCAATCTTTGGTCAATGTTTTCTTTTCCTTGAATATTGTCCATGAGCATCCAATTATGTGGAGTTTGGGGGAAAAATGATACAGAAGAAAGAAAAAAAATGAAGTTTATGATTGTGATAGAACAATAAATTATTATATGGGATGAATATATAAGAAATTAGTTAATTTAATAATTGTGACATCAATGAAAGTTGTTTAATGGTAAAAAGTAAATTTAAAAATATTGTTAATTAAGTAATTTTATTTAGGGTCATTTAGCCCTTGTTTAAGCCACATTATTTCTATAAGAATTCATTTTCAAATATTATATTAATAAAAAATGTATAGTTAAAAAATAAGAAAATATTTTGAATTTGCGTGTAATATTATTTTATTAAAAAATATATGATTGAAATGATGTCAAATCACTATTTAAAAATATATTTTCTGAAAGAATGTAAATCAAACATGATGTTAAATAAAAAATAAAATTGTGGTGTAACATGTTAATTTCATGACGATACGTCATGAGCCTATTTGTTTTCTATTTTTATAGTAAGAATATATTTTGAAATAGTGGATTGATGGGAAATGTGTGGTTAAAAAATGAAATTTTTTAGATTTGAATTTAATATTATTTTATTAAAGAATGTGATTAAAAGAAAGGAGAGAAAAATGTATTTTGAAAAAAAATGAGAATCAAACAATTTAATGCCCCCGTTTTGACCCCATTAATTTTTATTTTATTATATTTTATTTTTCTCTTTCTTATTTTCAATAGCACAATTTTTTTATAAAATAATATTATACATAAATCGATTTTTTTGTTTTTCATCACTCATTTTTAAGAAAAAAAAAAATACTATTCCACCTATTTTGATTTTTCGGGCCCAAACGGAGCCATAGTTGCCAAATGAATATAAACCGCACCTCCCAAAAGCTGTCACCCTACGCTAATCGTCAAAATTCCCAACTCTCTCACACGCACACGCACAGAAACGTGAGGAAGCAAGGAGGTGCCTGACTGCATATCGATATCGCCATGGTATGGTAACGAAAAGTTTTCTTTTTCTGTTTCTGCCAGAATTTTTGATTAATTTCTCATCAATTTTTTTTTTCTTTTTCTCCTTGATTTTTCACCCACTTATCTGAGATTTGATTAATTCATGTTTTTATTTAATTCCTTTACTTTGTTCAATTTTCTGCTAGTAATCTTAAACTACGCTTCCATGTACAAGATGAGATCTGGCTGATCACGTGTCAAAAGGCCTTGGCAAGGATTTAGTGTCCAGAACACCGAGAGGGATGGGGACCAGGAACAATTAAAAATTGTTTTTTTTAAATTAATTTGAGGCAAAACGAAAGTTAATTTTTTTTCTTATATTAATTTGAGGGAAAACCTAGAAAAGAGTAAGAAACTTGATTTTTCTAGTTTTATTGGTGCTTTGATGGGATGGGCATTGTTATAAAATTTGCTTCGATAGTCCCAAAATTTTTAGTCCTGTGAATTCCTACCTATCTTTTGATATCCTCGAGTGACCAAATGAGGCCTGATTCAAGAGGTTTGCATACATAGTTCTTTACTTTTGATCAAGTTCATTGATGTGTACCATTTTATTTGCTGTTTGTCCTAAACCTTTTAATTTCTTAACACCCTCCTTGCAGACGAATCTCTACACAGGGGTAACCAGGAAAGATAAACCCAGGGGTCGTCATCATGGGTTGACTAATCAGAAAAAGCAGGAAATAAGAGAAGCATTCGAGCTGTTTGATACTGATGGATCTGGTATTGGAATATATTTAATGTGATTGACATTGACATACATCTGCAGACTACTTATCGGTTGCTTTCTCTTTTAATTTACCCTGTGCAGGTAACATCGATGCCAAAGAATTAAATGTTGCAATGAGGTATAGTGTCTATTCAAATTAATTTACAGTGTCGTCAATGATTGCAAGGGCATTGAATCTGACATGGTTCCTTTGCAGGGCTCTTGGTTTTGAAATGACCGAAGAGGTAATGAATGGACAAAGCCTATCCGTATATAAATTTTTCTGGTGCATGTGAGAATGTTTTTATATTCTGGAATATGGAGGATAACAAGTAATTATAGCTATAATTATTATCCCAAAGTAATAAATTGCATCCACGCATCTTCCTTTTTGGATGAAACACAGGATTCTTTCTCCCTGTGGTGATGATTGGTGAACAATCTTATGGAGGGCTTGTATGAGAAGCACATGTTTCATAGTCATCACTCATCATCTTAGAATTTTAAATACTTTCTAAAAGTTGCATATTTAAATTGCTTCGATGCATGATTAAGTTGCCTCAACTTATCAACTACTGATTTTTAAATTGTCACAGCAACTTGATAACAACTGATATAGAATTGTATCGATGCTAGTGTGAAGGATATTAGTATATGAAGGACTTGATAAACCCAAGTTCGACAATCACGAACTTTATATTATGTAATGTAAGGGGCTAAATTCTAGATTATGATTCTTCTTGACGTCTTAGATAAGCATGTTGCTAAACAGGGATTCTCTGCTTGCCACATCAGAATTGGCATGTTTATCTTAGATTTCTTTGGCATGCATGACATAACTCTTCTTTTGATGGTCATATAATAAATTTTGTTGCTACAGGAAATCAATCGAATGATTGCTGATGTAGACAAAGATGGAAGTGGTGCAATTGACTTTGATGAATTTTGTTACATGATGACAACTAAATTTGGAGAAAGGGACACCAAGGTGGAGCTCATGAAAGCTTTTCACATTATTGACCAAGATCAAAGTGTAAGTTACTGGCGTTATTTGTATTCTACTTCCTCTTCCTGTTGGTAACTCTCTTTTCATCATCTGAGTGCAGGGGAAGATTTCTGCTGCAGATATTAAGCGTGCAGCGAAGGAGTTGGGTGAAAGTTTCACTGACAGAGAGATTCAAGACATGATTGATGAAGCAGATCAAGATCGTAAGTATTCAATATTTTTCCTTTTCTTCTTTTCCTTTCTGGTGCAGAATTCATTTTGGCATTTGTGCTTTTGTTATTGTTTTGAACTGCTCGAAATTTATTAAGTTTTGATACCACTTATTGCATAATCTTATCATTCTCTGACAACTTTTTGTTGGAATGCCTGTTTTAACGTGTTTGCTTCCATCCAGATCTCAAACTTGAAAGTAAATAAGTATATATATGTGAGGTTGTAGTAGTTTATTACTGTAGACACTGTTAAAATAGGAGAACCTGGTTTGATTCCAGGATGTCTGCTGAATAGACGTTGGTCAGCCCGTTGTTAGCCGAGGAAGGCGTGTTAGGGTGGTTCGATTTGTAGGTTTGATAAGAATTAGTCTATCTTATTTAACTGTTTTTATCGGGGTATATTGTTATAATTTCATTGAATTTAATTATGTCCTTTTTTTCAAATTGGTTTTAGAGGTCTAGAAATAGATCTGAAAATAGCTCAAATGTTTTTCAAAATAAAAAAGAAATTGATCAAACATCTGCATCATTTGCATCAAATGATTTCAACAATCATGAACTTCAAATTGCTCAAATTGAACAAAGATTACATAACTGGACTATTCCAAAAGTAGAAAAGAATTCTATTTATAAAATAGGAAAATTTGATTTTACTCAAAATTATGTTATCAAAACTTTTGAAGAAACAATATCCATCAAAAATCAAAATGCACACATCAATTTATTTTCAAAAGAATCAATTGAATCCCACAGGAAGAAATTTAAATATCTTCATGTTGGATTAGTTCAAATTGCTATCAAACATTTGTTTAGACTTGAGTTAGACATTCATATTTTCTTAACTCTTAGAGATAAGAGACTTCTCAAATTCGAAAATTCATTATTATCTGTTCTAGAGTCAAATCTAGAAAGCGGTCCAATTTATTCAAATTGTTATCCTAATTTTTCAATCAATCTCAATGATGAAGCTATTTTCAATGTTCTAAATATTCATATTCAAACAAAAAATCTCGATTTCGATAATCGATCAAATGCTTTTGTTGGAATTTACAGGATATATTACAAGTTTATGAATACTCAACTTACGTTCATCCCCTAAAGATGAAAACTTTTGGTTGAATATAATCCTTTTCATTCAAATATCATGATTCCCAAGAGAATTCCTTGGAATCTTCAAACTTGTGGACTAGAATGAAATTTTGAAAATATTCAAAATCCTATTCCTGCTCTTGTTCAAATAATTTTTAATCAAATTCTTACTTTTCCCGATGAAAACGTCAAAATGATTTTTAAATGATCTTCTTCTAGGTTTCAAAGATATTACTCGTCTAGATCTGAAAATAAACCTAGAACTTCTTTTCAATGAGCTAGATTTTCAACATCTTCTCTTACAGGTGTTGATTTAACTCCAAATATTCCAAAACCTCAATATATTGAAAAAGAAGCAAAAAAAAAGAAGAATCAGAACAACCTGAATTTCCAACTTTTTCTGATATGTTTTCTTCTCAAAATGAAAGATTTGATCATCAAACTAATGTTATTTCTTCAAGAATTGATAGACGAAATGAATTCAAAACTGATCAAACTCCTGATGTTAAAAGTTTTCGAAAATTATTTCGTCAAAGCTTTTCAAAAGAAGAAAGAGAATTTGGGAAGATTTTATGAATTCCCTGAAGATTTAAGTTTTTATGAATGGGCGTATTTCAAAGTTTTTAATAAAAGACCTACTTTTTCAAAGAACGAAAAAGTTTCTTCAAAGAAAGAAAAGATTTCTTTAAACAAAGAAAAATTATTCAAACTACAAATATTCCACAGAAGGCTTGGAAAACTCCTACCGAAGAGAATATTCATTCTCCTCCTCCTCCTTTGCAGGAAATTGCTGTTCCACATGGAAGTATTGAAATTTTGCGTCTCCTTTTAAAGAGATATTTGAAGAACGACATTATGAATCTCAAGATGTAAAAGATATAAAAAATATTCAAGCTCAAAATAACTACACAAATGTAGTTCTTCAATCTGCCCGTTCTCAGCTCAATAGAATTGAAATAAATTTTGAACTTGAGACTTCATCTTCCTCAAAAGGTATTAAGCCAATAGAGCCAGTTTTAATCAACAGGCATGAGGCTAAACCGAAAAATGGTCCCAAAACTAAGATTAATATTCTCAAAGAACTTGCGACTTAGTTATCAGAGATATCATATTCCTCTACTTTAAATAACATCAATATTATTGAAGATATTGAATCTCATTTTATTGATGATGAAATTCCTCAAATCAATAAACTTCAAGGCTAAAAAGTTCAATTTTTAAAAATTCCTCCTTATGATCCAAAAACTACTCCTTCTGATTTACTTTTTGAACAAAAAGCAAAAATGCTATAACATTCGTTGGAAGCGTTATACCTGTCTCGAATATAGATGGTCTAACCAAATATCAAATTTTTGAAATTCTTGAAAGTATGGATGTTTGTTATAATGCCTATATTCAAGAAGGACTTTTTGCAATTGAAGCTACAAATAATATCATTCAAGGTTTTGCTGGTTAATTAAATAATTGGTGGTTCAATTATATTTCTGAACAAGAAAAAATTCAAGTTCCTCAAGCTCTCAAACCTGAATGCTCAAATGATAGTTTTAAAATAATAATTTATTGCATTATCAAGCATTTTGTTAGATCTCTAGTAGATGTTTTAGAAAAAGTTTCAAGTATTTTATTAACTTTAAGTTGTTCAAGTTTACAAAATTTTCGTTGGTATAAAGATATGTTTTTAACACGTGTATTTTTGCGAAAAGATTGTAATCAAGTTTATTGGAAAGAAAGATTTTTATTTGGACTTCCAAAATTATTCTCTGAAAGAGTAAAAAATTCAATCAAAAAGGAATATTCAAATAATATTCCATATGATCTTTCTTACGGAGAATCGATTTGTTTTATTAACAAAGAAGAATTAGCACTCTGTAATGAACTCGAACTTAAATTCAAATTGCAAACAGAAAGATTAAACAGTCGAAAAGAACTTGTATCATTCTATAAATAATATGGATTTGAGAAAATTATTCCTTCATAAAAAACAAAAAGAGAAGATTTTTCAAAAAGAAAATTTTATTTAAAAGAAAAGAATTTTCAAAAACCTTCTTATTCAAAAATTTATTCTAAAAAGAAATTAAAAAAAAAAAGGATTTTCAAGAAAAAGTAATATTACTTGTTGGAATGTCAAAAATCTGGTCCTTTCAAAGGTAAGATTAATAATTTTCAAAGTGATGAAGACATTAAGCTTCAACTCCTCAATCTTATTGATTCAAATTATAGTTCTGATAATGAGTTTAACTTAGAGTTAGAACATGTTTATCAATATCAAGAAGATTCTGATGCTAAATCTAGTTCAAATTCTCAATTCCCTTCAAGTCAAAGTAAAGAACTTTGTGGTTGTAAACTATAAATGTTCTTACTAAACAAGAAGAACTTATTAAAGAAATTGTTGATCAAATTGAAGATCCACAACTCAAAAATAAGTTTAATTCACTTCTTCCTTCAAAATCAAAAGCTGAACCCTTCAATATGCAAAATGTTTTAAATCGTTTTGAAACTTCAAAATTATCTAGTTCTGATTTAAAATCAGAAGTCAATTTTATGAAGTCTCAAATTTCTATTCTTAAATGTCAAATGAAAGATGTTAGAATGGAAGTTTCTCTTCTCAAAACTCAAGATAAGGAGCTAAAGTCAAAGACTTTATTTATCCTCTTTCAGCTCTTCTAGTAAAGAATTCAATCCTCTCATTCCTTCAAACATTCAATCTGAAGAAGAAATAATTAATGTTATTAATCGTGTTCAATTTCAAAAATGGTACTGCAATATGACTATTGTAGTCAACAAAGAATTCAAATTTACATCTAAAGTCCTTATTGATTCTAGAGCTAATCAAAATTGTATCTATGAAGGATTGATATCTATAAAATATTTTGAAAAAACTATTGAGCGTTTTTATGGTGTTAGTGGTAAGAAACTCAATATTCAAATATATATATATATATATGGGTGTGCACATGGCAGACATGGGTGTGGATCGTAGTCTATGATGTACGGACCCGGACACGTGTGTCCGACATGATACGTGTCGGATACGTCGATTCTTGATTTTTCAAAAAAAGTACCGACATGACACGTCGTCAACACATTCATTAAATTCTTTAAAATTCTTCATTTGTATAGTTTAAAATTAGTTTTATACTTATTATTGATTTTTTTTTTGTTGAAATCTTTTAAATATGAGGAATTATTTGTTATTTGCTAATAACTTTGAGTTAAAAATATATAATAGCTATAGTAAGAAATAAAAATGATTATTGTAGAGTGTCTGAAGAGTATCGGTATCGACACGTGTCCAACACGGACACGCTACCCTAGTTGGAGTGTCCATGAAAGATCTTTTGAATAGATTATTCAAAACTGTTATCTTCTCAAAATTTGATATGAAGTCAGGCTTCTGGCAGATTCAAATTAAAGAAGAAGATAAATACAAAACTGCATTCAATGTTTCTTTTGGTCAATACGAATGGAATGTTATGCCATTTGGTCTAAAAAAATGCTCCTTTTGAAATTAAAAAAATCGCGAATGATATTTTCAATTCCTTTTCAAATTTTATTATTGTTTACATTGATGATGTTCTTATATTTTCTGAAAGTATAGAGCAACATTTCAAATATATCAATACATTCATGCATGTACTCAAGAAAAATGGTTTAGCAGTCTCTGCTAAAAAGATTGTTTTATGTCAAACAAAAATAAGATTCTTTGGTCATAAAATTCTAAATGGTTCAATTATTATAATTCAGAGAATTCTAGAGTTTACTGAAAAATTTCCTGATGAAATCTTAGACAAATCTTCTTTTCAAAGATTTCTTGGTTGTGTTAATTATTTCTTCGACTTTATTAAAGAGATAAGGTTGATTTGTGCTCCTCTTTTCAAAAGATTACAAAAGAATCCGGACCGATGGAGTAATGAGTGCACACTAGTTGTTCAAAAAGTCAAAAAGGCTGTTAAAAATATTCCATATTTATAAATTCATCACCCTACTGATTCAATTATTGTCGAAATCAATGCCTCTGATTTAGGCTTTGGTGGATTGTTAAAGCAGATTTCAAAAGAGTCAAGTCAAGAACAGTTGGTTAGGTTTCATAGTGGTGTATGGACTGGTCCTCGAAAGAATTCTTCAAATTTTTCAAAGCTTCACGTATTTCAAAATAAATTTGTTCCCAATGACAAGATTTTTTGTCCTTAATCTCAAAGTACTATCTATTCAAAGAAAATCAAACAATTTTGCAAAATTTATCTTCTGAAAATTCTTTCAAAACAAATATTGTGATCAGAATTATAAATACAAAGAATTATTCAAACTCCTTTTCAGGATCATCTTCAAAATCCTTTGAAGACAAAAATGTTTCAAGATTCAGACCCCTCTCAATCAAAGAATCATATCCTTTGAATAAAGGTAAATTTTATTTTCGATCAGATTCCTTTTTAGGAACTGAACCAAAGATCTATGAGTTTAAAACTCATAAAAAACTTTTCAAATTTCAAAAGGAAAATCCTCATGATATTTTTACTACCAATTACCAAAGAAGTAATAAGGATATTATAAAATGTCTAAAAAATACTATTGAAATTTTTAACAGTAGTAATAAAATAATAAAAAACTTTCAGAAAAATTTTCAGAAAAATGAAAGACTTATTCTTCAACATTCTTCAAAAGAATTATCTTTTAGAAATCTATTTTTATTAAAAAGGAATAGAAGAGATTTTATGAAGAAAGTCTTACAAGTTCTTGAAAATATTTATCAAAATATTATCAATAGAGATCTTACTTGTGCTCAAACATTCAAAAATATTATTTTCAGAATATTTGATAACTTCTATTTCAATGGTTTCGAGACCTGTGAAAGTTATCATAAACTTCATTTTACCCTCAAAGGTATTTCAATCATTAATGTCATTAATGAAGAAATTCGTCAAATGATTGAATGCGGATTTATTTTCTCAATATATATTTATTCAAAAACAGATATCCCACTTTTCAATAGCTCTTTTAAAAGAATTATTAATCACCATTTTGAATTCAAAGTCAAAACTCTCAAAATTGAATTCTCAATCATTCTTCTTGAATGGATTGCTAAAGAAGAAAAATTCAATGATACTCTTTTTACTGAAGAGTATTTTCCAGCCAAACAAATTGTTACTATTTGGAGTACTTTGTTTGGAATTCTTCCAATGTCTGATTCAAATATCACATCAAAAGTTTATTGTTATGAAGAAAAAAAGATCATATTCAAAAATTATGTAAGAGAAATTTTTACAAAAATTAGATCAAAATCTATTCTTGTTGCAAAGAAAAAGCTCGGAACAAATATTGACAATTCAAGATTGCAATTAATTTTTCATAATGAACATTATGCCATTTTTACTGATGAAGAAAAATGAACTCAAACTCAAGTTCCTCTAATTCAAAAAATATTTGATAATGAAATATCGATGCTCAACAATGCTTTGATAATTTGATCTATCAAAGTGAGGAACCCATTCAAGGACCCGATTTCAATTATGATGATGAAGAATACTTTAATTATGATGATGAATAATTATTCAATATTAATAATATGCTCGAAGGATAACATTTCTTTTATCATCAAAAGGTGGTAAACAAATTCAAAAGTTATAATCAAGGAGACAAATTTGGACAAAGTCAAAAGTAAAGGTCAATCAAAGATTAAAGTTGATGTCCACTTTTCAAAAAGAAGAATGGACGGTGCAAAAGTTTTAAAAGAAGCAATAATTCAAAATTCCTTCTCCAAATTAAAGAAATTTTCAAATTTGGAGTTCAAGATTTCGAGTATAAAAGCAATCAAGTGTTTAAGATCTCCTTAGAGCTAAATGAGATAGTTCTCATAAGAGAGTTGATTTAGCAGGAGATAAATCATTTTCAAGATAGTTTGAGAGATTTTTATAATCTTTTACTATCTTTCAAATTTGAATAATTTCCCGATCTAATTAAACGTTAAAAATAGATTAGTGCCTGATACGGCAAGGCCTTCTTCCCTAATGAGTGGATTCTATATTTTCGAAATTTCCCTTCAACCAATCATGTCAAATAAATGTAGAGTTGAAGGGAATTCTACGAAAAGAAAATGGATTATGGGAGTGTGACGTGAACTATTGATTGGTCTGTGTAGATATATGTCTACCACATTGGAATTCACAACCAAATGTGTCTTTATTCCAACCGTCGCGTAAGCCCTATACAGAAGATAGGCTGGTTCACTTGAAGAGATTCTTTTCTATGATCAGACTGAATCATGTTGTACATGAGCAGGCTCCGTAAGATCCAGTATAATTATAATAAGTGAAATGGATAAACTAAATTTTTTTTTTTATCTATTTCACTAATGAAAGATGGTAAAAGAATATGAAGATTTCTCAAACAATCTTGAGAATAATTTATCTCCTGCTAAATCAATTCTCTTATGAGAGCTATGCTCAATTAGCTTTTGAGGAGATTTTGAACACTTGATCTGCTTTTATACTCGAAATCTTGAACTCTGAACTTGAAAATTTCTTCAATTTGGAGAACGAATCTTGAATTATTGCTTCTTTTGAAATTTTTGCACCGTCCATTCTTCTTTTTGAAAAGTGGACATCAACTTTAGTCTTTGATTGACCTTTATTTTTGCTTTTGTTCAAATTTGTCTCCTTGATTGAGTATTACTTTTGAATTTATTTACTATCTTTTGATGGTAAAAGAAATGTTATCATTCGAGCATATTATTGATATTGAATAATTTTTCATCATCATAATTGAAATCTTCTTCATCATCATAATTGAAGTCGGGTCCTTGAATGGGTTCCTCACTTTGATAGATCAAATTATCAAAGCATTGGGATAGATCAAAAAGGGAACCGGAGACAACATATGCTTAGTCGCATTCGTATCTGTCTTGCTCCAGAGTTACATTGCGCCAGGAGAACTAGTGACGCAGGAGCATGTTAATTCATTAACGAGCGACAAAGAGAAAGGGGGTTGGAGAAGAGAAGAATTGAGGGTAAAAGGAAATTATTTTTTATTCATATAATCAGGTTGAATATTACCATGAATAAGCTCTCTATTAATAGAGCAACTAATCTAAAATGAAAAGAACTTCTAACAAGCTATAACTTTATCAAAATATTAAATCGAATCTAAACAATCATAATATGATTTAAAATCTTTCTTTAAATTCCTATCTACTATTTCTAATCTTTATCTCCATCAACTAGTCTATGTAGTCCTAACGAAGAGGGTTGGGTAACCTAAAATTATTTACATGCAGACTCAATGTATATTTATATGTTTCTTGCATTTTAGAAAACGCTGGAAAAGCTGTGGTGGGATAACAGGAAGCTGAAACCTAAAATTATTTACATGCAGACTCAATATATATTTATATGTTTCTTGCATTTTAGAAAACGCTGGAAAAGATGTGGTTGGATAACAGGAAGCTGATCTGATGAAGGGTGAGATAGAAACAATGTTTAGACAAGAAAAATGCTTAGACAAAAAAATGTGTACAAAGCTGTAAAATGCAAGTGCACAGAAGACTAGATTTTAAATTATTGATGCATATGTTGAAAGCACTGAAGTCCACAACTGACCTTCTGGTGTTAGATACCTGGGCAAGTAGATAGGTTCATAATTTTTTCTTTTACCTGTTTAAGTGATTATTGTCACTCTATATGGTGTAACGTCTACAATAAGTTGCTAGACATGGGAGACAATATAGACCTTTAGGGGTAGGCGGTTAACCTTTAGGTAATTCCTTGATGACTGTCCTTGGCTGTACTTTAAGCATTGGGACTGACTAGGTTTCGGATAGTTGAAATTTGTTTCAGACTCTGGAACAGAAGTAAACCAAGCCAAACTTGCACATGTTTTTAAGTTTGTGTCGAGCTCACTTGTTTTGGAACAAGTGCTAAATACAATGTAAATTAACAAAGTCCTTAGTTTGTCTCGTCCATTCATTCGATCTCAAGCTCAGCTTGAAAAATAGATTAACCAGACTTGAGCAATTTTAAGACTTTTTAATGATATCATGTTGAGCTTGAGCATCTTAAAGCATTGCTTTTGTTGTCTACTTTATACCCACGTCTCAAATGTGAGGTTGTGGAAAGGAGTATTAATTAGAGTGAGTTTGTAAATTGGAAGGCATCAATCTTTGCACTAGGGGTTATGAGCAGCTAGTTGGGTTCTGAGTCATGTCTGTTGCTGGTTGAAAACTATTTCCAAACCCCCTCTTTGGCCTGTGTTTACCCCTGGCCGCCGAGAATTTCTGAAAGGGCTCCCTTTACTGGGTAAAGCCCTGCATAAAAAAGGGTTTGTAAATTGGGTGGTGTGGCATGGCTGGAATGGTATAAAAATAAACGTTTGAATGTTTATTTGTTTTTATCAATTTTCAACAAGTCATGTTTTACTTCAATGTTGGTTGGATCTCTCACTCGTATACTCTTACAAATGTGTGAGCATTTACGTAACTCTGTGTGCACTAAGACACATGCTGGCATACACGAAGACATGTAAAAAGGCCTAGTTTATTGTCTGTTTTTCCATGGTATCTCTTGTAAGAACTTTTGGTCGGTCAGTTTGCATTATCTTCAAGTTGAAAACCTAATTATGTAAGAATTGATCTCTGAAAAATGGTAAGATGTCAGCTTCTCAAAACCTAACTATGTAAGAATTGATCTCTGAAAAATGGTAAGATGTCAGCTTCTCTTTTTGCATTAGTTATTTGCATTAATCGGGAGGTGCTTGATTTATAAGTTTATTGTCTGCGAAATATTCAGGCGATGGTGAAGTTAATGCTGACGATTTCATGAGGATGATGAAGAGAACTTCTTATGGGTACTGAAGCTAATTTGTGCATCAAATTTTTAGTCGCAATATATCAGAAACGGTTTGTTACTTATCTGTTGTAGTGTGGAATATGTTAATTTAAAGTTATAAACCGAATGACAAGTGAGACGTATCTATATTTATCGCTGTTTGAAAATATTGTGATAATCCTGTTTCAGATGTTCTTACGTATTACTCCAAATTTTTGACGCGTGAAAGTAGAGAGTAATGCGAATCTTGCAAATAAAGTGCAGTAGTATTTACTGTCAATGTGTGTTGCTGGTTGGCATTTGTGAGTAGTTTTGATCCTGCACTCACTGATTTTAGAATGGTCAGATGGTACCTTTTCATTTATGCATCCTTCGAATGAATGTGATGTTATTCTTGCTTCTGAGTCCGTTTCACTGAATCTTTTAGAGAGTTTCCTTGCAAACTGAGTGACAATAAATTTTGGGAAATCAAATTGTTCGCTACGACGAATAAAAGGGATTTTGGATTTATTTTATTAATGAAAAATAATCAAAATATTGATTTCTTCGGATAGAACTTTACACGGTTTGTTTTTCGTGAATTCTTTGCTATTTGTAATACTGTGTCTTCATGAAAAATTTAAAATTTTATTCCGCATTGTTTTATGTTTATCAATCAAAGCAAAGGAAAACCAGCAAAGTAAAAGTCAATTACAAAGCATAGACAAATTCACAGGTCAGGGTCGGAGCCAGGAATTTACATTGTTGGAGTAATTATTATTATTATTATTATTATTATTATTATTATTATTATTATTAGTTATTAAAGTTGACATATGAATGGAATTTATACGTAAAGAAAAAACTCATAATACAACATTATGTAATATCTACTAAACTTGTGTTAGACGAGGTTTTATAGCATAAAATTCATCTATAAAGAAAATCTATGTCTGATTTCATGGTAATTTCTGATTCGATGGAGGTTGTAATACGATTAGGAAAAAATCATCATCCATTTTGTTAAGAACTATCATCTTTGCATGTTCAATTTTCTTCCACTTTAAGATCTAAATGCATAAAAATTCAAAAGAATTCAGAAAATTTGCTAACCATTCCTATTTTTACTTGTCTTCTTCAATAAAGGATACATTCGTATGTTCTTCTCTAACTATTAAACATTTTCAAAATGTACTCTAAAGATTAAATTAAATTCATCTAATTAGTATGTTTTGAACCAATTATACAAATATAATAAATTAATCACCTATTAAATTCAATGACAGATGCAGATTAAGCAGTGGGATGAATTTTAAATTATACAACCAGCAACATTTCAAACAATAGTTTGAGAAAAAAACTATGCTCATATTTGATTTTGTTAAAAGTCAGATTTTTAGTAGATTTTGACAAAAGACGAGGAAATGTGTAGTTGAAAGTTGATAATACTATAAACTACTTGAATTTTAAAGTATTTTTATTGAATACACTATGCATTTCATCAATTTTTATCAAAATATATTAAAAATTTGATTTTAACAAAACTAAATAGCGAGTTAGTATGTTTAATGTTTAGTAGTATGGACGGTGGCCTTTAGAAACTACATAATAGATAACGGCTATTATTGACCTTAGAAATCACAATTTTGGCTATCCAAATTCAACAGTGCCAACCATGAAGCACTTTAATTGAGCAGGAAAGGGAAGCAATTTTGGCTATATATACACTAAGGTAAAATGGAACTAAGCAATTATTCCAGTAAACGTACGTTCCATTCTACATGAGCCACATATTACAATGAAATATAAGTGAAAACTATGGAAGCTAAATGCTCTTGTTTAATAGCTCTGTAGTTAATCTGCACAACTTTAATAATGGGAGTGAAAGACACATTGATGTGTCAGAAAATGATTGATGTTTTTGTTTTCATTTTTCAAATCGTCCAATCATGTATCGACACGTGTCCCATTTGGATTTAAGCTTGCATGTGTAGCATGATTGTTATTTTCAATGATTAGTCATTACAAAGCCACAATTTACGGCAATTTATGTGTGCGATCCTGGAACAACCTATATTTCCTCATAACAACAGAACCCAACTATTTTCCTTATGGTATCTATTTCCCTAATGGGTCTACTTGAAGATATTGTAATGGGAAGCTCGTAGGCATCACCTGCACACTTGAACATCTCGTTAAGAGGCAAATATTATCGGTCGAGAAAAAGACTAGGCGATCGTTTCCATTCTGACGATAAAGTTAATGGCTACACAAGATATAAACGTAAGTGCCAGAGACGAGAGAGCGGATTTCGCTAGGGTTATAGAAGATACATACCTTTAGATTGTGAATGGACTAGACCTATATAAAAAAGGTGAACGGGCCAGGTTAGTGTGGAATAGACCCAACCCTAAGTCCAAAAAGTAGTTGTATGATTTAATCGGCCCAATCCAATTGAATATTGAGGTCCAGTCAGCATATGTATGACCCCCTCCGTTACTTGTATGCCACGTAATTTATAAATATAACAATGATATTTGTTGCATTTAAACCATACGATTTAGTTATATAGTTGGACAAATTTTCACTGTTCTTTTCATTTTATGTAGTGGAATTGGTGGGATTGCATCTACTATTCTACTTCCGTCCTACCAAAATCCAAGTAACAATAGGAAATACATTTTGTTTGGGGAAAATTATGCTTCATCTGCAGCAGTAATTCTTGAAGAGATTGGACTTAACTTTGTAATGTCTACCTTCAATGATTTTGAACTAATTATCAAATACTCGTAACTCAAATATATACACGTGAATTGCAGGGCCATTGGGTTCCCTTTCAGTGTACAAATTCAGGACTTCAAAAGCACATTCAGTAAATTGAGAAATCAAATGGAAGAGGAGGAAATGAACCAATATTTGGCAAATGCTTTAGTATTTATCGCCATTGGTACGACTGCAGCAGCAACTATCTGACTCCTCAATATTTAAAAGTAGAATTTTGCTGCTCAAACAAGGGCTTTGATAGTCCCATGTGACGGGCTGAGGTGGAGGTTTGAAATTTAAAATTTTAGATCAAGGGTTGTCACAGCTCCTGTTTGTGTAGCAGCTTCCTTAAAAGTAGCCACCTTTACAGTCCAGATGATTTTGCTGATATTCTCATAAACAGACCCTATCATATTTTTTTTACACGTTATAAATAAAAAAAAGTACAAGTAAAGCTCAAAGGCACATTTAAAAAACTTACCGGTCTAGAACAAAAAAAATCATGAAATAGCAATTAACAAGTGGACAATCGACACCAATAAAATGGCCCAAGTGTAAAGTGTCCTTTGGGCCTTTTGTTAGTGGGAGCACCACTGCTGCTTGCAAGCACTTTCTTGTCTGTATAATGGTAAAAAATTTGCATCTATTTTAGATTTAGATTACATTCCTTTTGCTTCTGAATTGAGGGTTAAAGAGCAATTCAATTTTTAAGTCAATTTCGTACTTTCATTTACAATATATATCTTAAAAGACCCAAACATTCCATTTCACTTCAACAATAAATTAGGGTTTTTTGTCTTCAGTTCATACAGCCACTCCTGAAAATTGTAGCTGAACAGTTCTTTAGACGTACCATGTTGAGAAGTAGACTTTGTTTTAGGGATTTATTTGCAACTCAATCGATGGAAGATAGAGTTTGGATGGCTTCGGTTAGGTATTCATGGATTTGGGCATAAATTCAGATTAATGCACCAAATGATAGTGTTTGGATATGAATAATCCGTTTTAGCAAGTTCTTATAATTAATAAACATTTCAATCATGCTATAAGTACAAATATTTTGACAGAAAACACTTGGCGCAATATCATTGGAAGATGGGAAAAAAGGGCCAATCAGGTTTGGCCACATCAGTGTCGGTATCCATTCCGTTAAAATTTTCCTATACTTGAAGCTTTATTGATAAACATTTTTAGTAACATGTCAGAAAGTCCTGCAAATCCTGTCAATTATCTAAAAAATCAATAAAAAATGTCATTTTTAACCTAAATTTCTACTTTCGAAGTGTTTGATTGACAATTTTTCCATGAAGAATATTTTCCAACTTTTGGTCATGTAATTATATTTTTCTCAAAAACAAGAAAAATATTTTCTTTTGGGAGGGGCAATTTTTATTTTCTAGGTAATTAACTCATTTTTATTTCTCATATATTCATTCTCTCTCATTTATCCACTGATAAAAAATTGATAAATTATCTACTATAAAGTCTTTGATTGTTGTCCTTGTATCCTTGAATTTTTATCTGCATGCTAATATCTTAATTTTTCATTGTTAAAAAAGGTTGAACCCCAACCTTAAGGGTCCCTCATCGTTCGGTCCTTAGAACATCGTGAGAGAGGTTAATCGCAGGAAACAAGAGTTGCCTGTACACTGGTGCCCATAAAGAGTCTCAATCCATATTTCATGAATCGAACACTCACACTGCAGCTGCCAGTAAGATTAAGTATACCTCACCCATGTCCTTTGCACCACTGTGATATGTTCTAGGGGGCAAACAATTTTCATTGTTGTTATGAAGGAAACTTGTCCTAATCTTCTTCTCTCATGCTCCTCCATCTTTCTTGTCCTATCTTCTTTTTTCCCTTCTCTCTCTCTCTCTCTCTCTCTCTCTCTCTCTCTCTCTCTCTCTCTCTCTCATTTTTCTTTTTTTTATACTAATTCTCATAGAGTTTAACAAGTGCAATTGGTTGTTGTACATGTATGTACATCGTCACATTGACTTTTCAATTAAAATTACTATAGAGTTATCTTTAATTTCAATCAAATCGATGTTTGATGGAAACAGTGACTTCTCAATACATTGTTTGACTTTGTTTCATACTCTTTTAACTGTTTCAATATCTTTCTGTAATACAGACATACATTATGTTACACTACATTGATAAGCTTGAAAATTCAATTGTATCAACTCAAGAATATGATGACGAGATACCGTAAAATTTGAACTAAGCGATGAGTTTATTATGGAGATTTTTGAACACCTAGTTTCAATGTCCAGTCATGATGCTATATCACTAGTTTGCAAACTCTCTTGGTCTTCAGAGGCTCAGCCTTGATAGAATCAGTAGGGTTTTGAGACTTAATAAATCCCTGCTGATGATGTTAAACCGATATTGGATAAGTTATATCAATACTTTAGTGATGGCTCGACTCGACAACAAATTGGGGTCATTTGAAGCAACTTAATTGAGTTAATGTTGATCATGGCCCAACACTTTTGGATGGCACAATTTATGGCTTTGTATTGGTGGTGATATAT